GAAGTACCAGCTCCCAGCCGATAGCCCATGTATTCGGCCAATTTGGTCGCAGTTTTGGAGTGGGCTGAGGGCCCAGGTGGCTGTGAAAGAGGCGTAGGCTATAGGCCCAGTCGGATTTGTTGAGTGTGAACGTTATTTTCAGCCCAAATGGCAGGTTGGCTAGTGCATGTTATGTTCGCTCGTGACGATTTCTCTCGTACCGGTTCGATGCAGTCACTTGGCGGTGGCACTGCCTTGTAATTTCAGTCAACTCCAACTTCATCGTTTTCTGAGATCTGGAAAAGGCCAGCTTCTCCAACTCCTCAGTTTTTGCACTTGGGACGCTCGCCAGCTTCTTGATTTCTACTCCATGGAGCTAATGTGTTCGGCTCAGCTTCATGCATGGAGTAGAGGAAGCTGGAAGCTGGAGCGTTGCCGAACACGCCCTTACAAATAAAATATGAATAGTAATGCTAAGTGGCCAGTCATGTAAAAATATGGAAGATGGTAGAAGATACAACACATGATTGGAGATAATTTTGTTGTTTATTAGGGCAAAATTTCTAAGCAAGCACAAAATGTACACATGGTGTGTCAGAACGGTAGGAGCAAAAACTCACCAGTGGTCAGAGTCACCCAGCCACCCAGGCGCGTCTACTCTTCCCTTGAGCGTTCTCGAGTGTCGCTGCTATAACAACCTTGGCAACGTCGGTGTCCTTCTCCACCGCTTCACCTGCATCCTTCCCATGCTTCAATGCAACTGACGAAGACCATCTCCTCTCTTTCCTAGCATCGGATGCCTGGACAAGGAGCAAGTACATGTAGGATTTTGAGGAGCAAGGCATGCTGAGCAAACAAGGTTATATAGATTACAAATTTAATATCTGGCATATTAAATCTTATATTTCTGAAGCAAGGAATCACACAAAAAAAGTATAGACAATCTTTGGCAAAAATAAGATCAGTGAAGCAGTGCATGAATATAGCTGTTGGAGCATACGCATCATACACTACTCCCTGCAGCCGGTCGTCCAGTCCATATCCTAGTATATGCTTAAAGTAGCCACTCTTGCAAAAATAAGGACAAAAAAAGGTGATTGGGGAGTGTTTTGCTAGATTGTAAAAATTATGCATCGCAATGGAAAGTGAAACTGTAATGAGATGAAAATGGACTTAGATGAGAGGACGAAAGTAAGATGCAAACGAAGAGTGAAATGAAACAGAACCTTCTCTGTTGCCGCAACTGGTTCCTCTGTTCAGTAGTGCTTTTAGGGTCGTAACAACCCAGCAAAAACTCCCAGACTTCCCCTTTGATATTTGGGTGGACACCCTGTTCGCATAACCAAAAATAAAGACAACGTCCTGGTTCAATTAATCTGAGCAGTCAGAACATGTGCATAGATGCAGCATATATGCCCCAAGGGATACTAACAAAAGCCAAGAAAATGGATAGTTGTTAAGAAGAAGAAAAAATGCAAGGTTGAAACTTGAAAGGGTAGAAAACAATGTGAAGGGATGCACCTCCAGGGAGTAAAGAAGTGTCACTGATGAGAATACGTGGAGTAGGCTATGCATCAGTGTATTTACCACCAATCAAGCAAGCATGATTCAGAGTCCTCCCACTGAATCTTGTATCAGTTGGAGAAACAAACTGGTGGAGCTAGAATGTCGAAATATGCTTTGTGCAAATTCCTACAAGTTTTATTTCTCATGAATGATTATCTATCGGATGTATATGTAACAGTGTCTACTGCCCAAACCCTTAAAAAAAAGAAAATTGTCAACTGTCCTGAATGTTATTTGTATTTTGTAGCAGTTTGACTGCAGGTGTTGTCACACATGATACATGACATTTACCCTACCCGGGGTGTGAGATCGATACAATATGTCACTGAGCTAATTACGCTGCTGGTGATGAAAGATAGATAGATATAGCTCACCCCACGTTGTACTCTCATGATCATTCCAGCTGCGTCTAGGCAACCCTCTTCGTTGAACAGCAGCTTCCATCTCCTTGGAGGACTCAGCGTGCGGCGAGGCTGCCAAGGACAAGAAGGAAAAATCAATATAAACCAATCGATGACCAATACACACCTGTCATTAATCTCTCTCTCTAATCATCTTTGGGGACTCTGAAATTTCATATGCATATATATAGGGATTTATGCTTATGTTGTAATCAGGTCGCGTAGATGTTCAGACGGGAGGTAAGAGCGGTGGAGGGCAGGGGCGGCCAGTAGGGACGAGACCTGCGCCAAAGGGCGGCTCCGGGGCGGCGGCTCAGCGACCTGCTGCCCGCGGCGAAGGGCGGCTCCGGCGGCGGCTCGGCGACCTGCGGCCCGTGGCGAAGGGCGGCTCCGACGGCACACGACTCAGCGACCTGCGGCCCATGCCGGCCGTGAGGTCGTGCGGGCGGGGCGAGAGGTCGTGCAAACGTTTTTTTAGCGGTCGATGGACTGTAGGTGGCTTAATTGCGTGGTTTGTTGGGTTAAACACAGAAAGATTATTAACCATCAGATTTGGCCCGCACTAGGCGTCAGCCGGATGATTTGTGCGAGTTTTAAGCCGCCTTCCGAGCCGTGCGATGGTTCTTGTGTTGCGTGGGTGGCGGTGGGTGTGTAACACAAATGTCTCTTTGACCTAACCGTTTCTTGTGGTCGGATCAGTCAACACAAACACTCCTCGTTTAGTAGAATACTATTTTACTTTGTTCTTCCCCATCGTAGCACCCGGTTGCCGCATGGCGGCACCATCGCAACACCGGCTGATAGCACGTCGATCGTTACCGGCTGGCAGCACATGTACCGTCGCACCACCGGCTGGTAGCACGACGGTGCCGTCTCAGCATCGATGCTACCCGTTGCAGCCGAGACACCAACGGAGTATCCGCTGCAGCACGGTCATGTCGGGGAAGCACACCGTCGCCGCGGCCCATCGAGGGTCGCAACACCGCCGTGCCGTGGAAGCATGCCATAACACCGTCCGGTTGTCGAGCGACGCATCACCATCGTGTGATGGAAGCAACCGGTACATCGCTGCAGCTCCAGCAGCCCCGCAACATCGGCTCACACCATCAGCTCACAACAACGCCGTCCGTCGAAGCAACTCGATCAACCTCACAGCATCGCCACCCGTCGTACCATCTCCGACAGCCTTGCGGCAAGTAGCTCGCAGCAGCGCTGTCCGTCATACTAACCCCGGTGACCTCTTAGCAACTCACAACATCACTAAACGGCCTTACAGCAGCGGCTCGCAACATCACTAAACGGCCTTGCAGCAACGGCTCACAACATCACTAAATGGCCTCGCAGGAGCGGACGTCTAGTCGATGTTTTTCGGCCCTTGCAGCATTACGTCTCAAGGCTTGTAGTTGCGGTGGCCGGTCCTTATAGCGCTGGCGTCTCGGCTTGAAACCGGCATGCCCACCACTTGCAACGTGGTCAGTCATCGAATCACACATTGTGTGTCTCGTGCTGAATACATCCCATGATTCCCCCACCCGCGCCTCCCCCTCACAACATCTGGTCGCCACTTCCAACGTGGCCAGTCATCGAATCACACACAATGTGTCTCGTGCTCAATACATCCCATGATTCCCCTACCCGCGCCTCCCTCTCACAACATCTGGTCGCCACTCGCAACATGGCCCACAAATATCAGTGACGCTCCCCGTAGCATGGCTCTCAATATTTGCGTCTAGTGTGCCTCGCGACACGACGATAGTCCCTGTAGCATTGCGACTCCCATCACAACATCGCCTCGCAGCACCGACGTCACTCTCGTAGCATGGAGACGCCCCTCGTAGCATTGGCTTTAGCATGCCTCGTAGTATGGCGGCGCTCCCACAACACTGGCTTTCAACATGTTTCACAACATGACAGTGGCTGCTCGCAATACCAGGTAATATTGCATCGGCGTCCTCGCAACACCGGGTACAAGCACGGTGGTGTCCTCGCAATACTAGCTCGCAGTGGCGCAGCCGCCCCGTCGCAACACTTGTCGTAGCAACTCCGATGACCTCGCAACAACAACTGATGCTGCATTGTAACATTCACTCGGATTGCCTCGCAGCACCGCAATTGGAGCAACATCATTGGCCGTCGTCACAACGTTGCTAGCTAGCAGCCACCAACCTTTGGAGAAGCAGCCACCAGACAACCTTTCTTGATGCAGAAAACAAAGGCAAGGGTCGGCGATAAAAAACATGCAAAAGTAGAGTTTTCAAATGAAAATAAAATTAAGATGGAAGAGCGGTCGGCGGGCCCCACATGAAACATAATCATTTGGCCGCGAAATATCAGTTCCTATTTGGCTGCTAAATATTGTCCATTGGTGCGAGCCTAAATCGATCTAAATATTTTAAATTAAAAAAATAGACACAATTTGACCACTACATACCTGTTCTTATTTATGCCTTAATTTGTAGAGTTAAGGGAGTAACAATGGTACTCCAATTTTGTCGTAATAACAGCGAATAGCTATCATCATGCACAGGATTAGTAATTACAGTAGTTTACAGTGTCATGGGTGCGCTGAAAAGTCAAATCAAGCTCGCATCGTGCTCACAAGGAATTGCAATCAAGCATTCATGGGACGGCGCAGCAGGCGGATGCTTCGCGTTAAAATCAGTCGGCTGTTTTCAAGCGTTTTCCATCAGATTTTGTAGATAGATGGATATAATTGTTTGGATCTGTCCCTCTTTTTTTTATAGTGGTAATAGATAGATGTAAAGTTGGAAATGTCTGGGTCCGTGACCACCTGGTACAAGATGGTCTAGACGGTGGTACAACTGACCATGAGCACGAAATGTATATACACCGGTTCTTGCCGCGGTGTTGACCCGCTGGTCAAGGGTAACTTCAAGACTTGTGAAGGAGAAGTGGGAGTTGAAATATCGAATGTGTTGTCTAAAGTATTTTGCATCCTGGTCTACCTGACTTGAAAACAATCGTTGCAGCTCTTGAGGAACCTCTGGGATACATACCTTAACTTTACCTTTTCCGCAACAGAAGACTGGACCTTCATACTGGAACCTCTTTGCTCCACAATGGACAGTCTTTTACTGGCTTCAAAACATGATGCTTAGTTAGTAGATTCTTGTAGACATTAGGTGTCACTCTGTATGATTCAAACTCATGACCTGCAATAATATTGGAGTCAAAAATACATCACAGTCTGCAAGATATAAGTGTATATGCATTCATGGTATAGGTCACCTTGTCTACTAAATATCTTGCATTCATCATCATCATCATGCACTGGTTGTCCATCCCGTGTGTCGTGCAAGCATTCTAGGAAAGCAATAACATTAAATCAGCTTCATGTTTGGATGTGAGCATCGTCATTTCTCCTATTGAAAAATTTAGTACTGTAACGCGAGGATATAGATTCAACCAAAAGTTTTAAGCTAGATTTAGTAGTTTTTAAACACTGGAATCTCTAAAAAAGACTTGTATTTAGGAATGGAGGGAGTATACATCACAATTATAACACACGGGAAACTACACAGTGCCGTATAAAGGAATTAAGTAATGGGACAGGAATAATGAAAAGAAATATACCGTCCACTTCGGCAGGGGGCTCCATAGGCTCTAATATTCCAGCATCATAGGACTCTTCACCATTGCCGTGGCAACCTGGTTGCACACCACCGACACGGTAGAAACAAAGTTGAATATCACATGGCAGGTGCAGTCAATTACCACGCAAACACAGATATTTATGACAAAAATTGAAGATCAATGGTCTTTCAGTGGGACTAATTGGCATGTGTAATTGGGGAGGGGACTGCAGATCCACCTGTTGGCTCAGCAATGTAGGACTGTTCAGATGATGCATGGCGTTTTCCCATCTTATGCACACGTTTCCTCTGCAAGACAACTTCTTTTTCTTCCGGCGTCATTTGATCATATTGTTCTCTCATGCGACGCCGTTTCTTCTCAGAAGATGCCTCTGAATGGGATACATGTACCTTTCATTTGAAGATACCTCAGCATACCTTTCATTTGAAGAGAGCTAAGTGTTCCAGGTAGAAAGTTTTCTTGTATGTGCGCTCCTTGAGCTTGTGACATGTCAAATACCCCATGAACATCCATCGTTTGTCGTTCGTAAGTGGGATTTGTGTGCAGCCAATCAATATGACCATCTGTCTGCATAGATGAGCCACTGCATGGTGAGTTTAGCATATGGCTGACAACAGATTGTGTTGTTTGAAGATAAGCAATACCTAGAGAAAGACAGTGCATCGTATGGCTTTCATATGGTTGAAGATGAGCAATACGTAGAGAAAGATGGTGCATCATATGGTGCTAGAAAATATTTGTTGAAATTACCAGGTGATACTTGGACGCTAGTGGTTGCAGCTTTCTTCTCTAGTCGAGCGTTCCGGAGCTTCTTGCAGTGCTCTGCTTTCTCGTCGCCGGATAGACATGAATACCATGTTTCAGAGCTTCGTTTTTTGCGCCCAAGAGCGACATCTTCAGATGGATGGTCGGTATAAGCCGAGGTTGCAGCTGCATGTATGATGCGTATGATAGGTTAGTCTCTCAATATAGTAGTGTAGCATAGAATATTGAAACAATAGTCAGAATATTAAAATTGCAGCATGTAAAGATAAAGAACGAACCGGTTGTGTTTGAGTTGGCTATGTTGCTCAAAGGAGGTCGTGGCACATCCGGTGATGAAGAAGCAGGTGTTTGAGAGACATCCTCAGGGTTAATACTAATGACAGATGCAGCCTTCTTGTGTGCTCGGGCCATACGCCGCTTCTGGTTGTACTCCGCTCTCTTCTCATCGGACATTCGTGCATACCAATTTTTACCACTTTTTGGTTTTTTAACATCTTGATTTACAACTGAGTTGGTTATGTTGCTCAAAGGGGTTCGTGGCATATGCAGTGACGAAGAAGAATGTGCTTGATTTGCAGTCTCCTGAGTAGGTGTATTCGTCGGATCTTTACATGGGGAACGATCCCCTGATTGTAACGCATGTGGACAATGATTCCTCATCTGTGGCATGAATGGTTAACATCGTACATCATTAGTAATATTCATGCAATATTGAGAAGCTCAATTCTTAAATGTTGCAAACAAAGTAAGCAGAATATCAAGTAAATATGAATATGTGATGAAAAGGATCTGTGTCATGAATGGGAAACATCGTACATCATTAGAAATATTCATGCAATATTGAGAAGCTCAATTCTTAAATGTTGCAACAAAAGTAAGCAGAATCTCAAGTAAATATGAGTATGCGTAGTTAGTTAGGGAGGAAGAGGAAACATAATTTGTTTTCATTCTGTCAAAATTATATATTTCAATATATTTCAAAATGGCATTCAGTTTTGCCGTATCTGTTTTTGAATGTTGAAACATATGAAACATATTAGCTTGCACAAAAAAAGAACTACATTATTTTCCCGTATAAAATTCAAGAAAGCGAGAGCAGCAGACTGGTTAAGAGTAGAGGCTTGAGAAGATGTTGCAGAGGTGTGGAAGAAGGTAATACTGAAAAATAGAATTTTGTAGGTCAAAGCAAGTTGCATATCTAAGTGGAGATGAAAGGTTTAATGTCATGAGTGTACCAAGCAGAGAGCATCTATTTTTCTATTTTGCAAGCAGAGAGGCTGCAGGGTGCCTTTTATGCATTCAACAGAAGGACTATGTACATGCATCCTTTTTGACCTCCCATATTCACCATCCGCCTCTCCCATTACCTCTCTCCACTGCCTCCTCTCAACCCATCCCGGTAAGCCCCACCTTCGCCTCGTCGATGCATACAGCCTTTTTGCATCACGGTGCGCAAACCTTCATGATCTACTGTTTATTTAAAAATAGAGGTACCTTTCATGTCAAAATACTCCCTCCGGTCCTTGTTACTCTGCTTATTAGAATTCTCTGAAGTCAAACTTCACAAAGTTTGACCGTTTTTATATGAAAAAATATCAACATCTGTCATGCTAAAGTTATATAATATGAAACTTGAAGTCATGACACATCTAGTGGTATTGATTTCAGATTATGAATGTTGACACTTTTTTCTACAAAACTGATCAAACTTTACGAGGCTTGACTTCAGTCAAATCTTATATGCGAACTAAAAAGGACCGGAGGGAGTATAATGCTTGCTCACAGCCCATGACTCAATCTCTTGAAACAACAAAACACGTGGGTTATTTTTTAATTGAAACTACAATGTGGTATTTTTTTTAACTCAAACTACAATGTGCAGATTATATATTTAGATTATAAATTTGAGTAGTTGTCACAAAACACAATGGGATGGGAAGGTAAGCAACAAAACTTCAAAATATGAGTTGCATGGACTACAAATTTCTGAAATCCTCACTAATTCAATATGTCCTCATAAATTTCAGGAATCCTGATGGCAACTATTTGTCTATATGCTGGCAGAATTTGAAATTGGTTTGCTTGATCTCTGAGTATATTAACTTACTTGCGACTCCGGCGGAGTGGCAACATGGCGGCGTGGCGGCTAGGGAGGCTCCCGGCGACCCGCGGCGGGGCGGGCTCCCGGCCGCTTCCCGTGGCTCCGGCGGCGTGAGGCAGCGGTGAAGGGCGCAGGCGGAGGCGGCGACCCGCGGCGGGAAGGCTCCCGTCCCGGCGACCCGCGGCGCGAGGCAGCGGTGAAGGGCGCGGGCGGAGGCGGCGACCCGCGGCGCGAGGCAGCGGTGAAGGGCGTAGGGCGGAGGCGGCGACCCGCGGCGGGGAGACTCCCGTCCCAGCGACCCGCGGCTGCAGGAGGCGAACGACGCGTCTGCGGGAGGAGGTGCGGGAGAAGGAGGAGGTCGTGCGGGGGCGGTTTTTTTTTATTGCGGGACGATTTTTACTGCGGGGCGATTAGCGATCGATCGTGGCTTCTTGCGTGGTTGGTAGCGGTAAACACAGAATGATTAAGGACCATTATATTTTGATGATGGATGGATGTGATTGTTTGGATTTGCCCCTCTCTTCCTTTTATAGTGGTGGTAGATTAAAAGAGATGTGGGATAATAAACCCAAGACAAATAAATTGTTGCAACATAAAATTTCACCAAAAACTTGGTCAATATTGAAGAAAGACGCCAAGTTGTAAGAGTGATTACTGCGATTTGTAGTCGTTATATTTGATCTTACAAAACTATAGGTATGAACCTTTATTTTCATCAGAATTTTCATAATCTTAAAACGTTCTCGATATCATATTATGAGTACATGGAATTTTGTAATATTTTTTACATCAATTCTTCTCCCTCAAACAAATAAGAATCTAAAAGCTTCTCTCATCACCGACCGACCACCCGTAAAAGCCGTGATTGGCCATAAACCTTTCTTCAACTATAGTTTAAAAAAATCAAATTGTATAATCATATAATTTTTCCCATCAGATAATCAATTGACATAAAGACATCACTTTGTTTGTGGAGTATTTCATGTGATAAATACTTCTAGATGTAGTACACATGGCAGTATTCAATGGAATATGGAAGGATATTGAACGACCAATGTCACTCCATTTTGCCATTTATCATCATCAGATCGAGTTAATCCATTTATTTGTATTCAAAGCTAATCCTATACTATATATTGGTATATGCATTATTTTGATACATTGATGTTTCTTAATTCATTTCTAAAAAAAATACACAAACTTATCCACAAATCTTATCACATCAAACCAAGAAGACTCTTATAATTCCGTAAAAACAAAATATATTAGAGACAAACAAATCATTTCAAACTCAAATTGAAGATTTGCTAAATCACATATAGTGAATAACTATACATAACACTTCACAATAAAACGTCATGATACTTAAAATTAAACTAGGTGCAACATTAATTATAGATATATTAAACTATATAATTACAGTAACACCAAGCTAATCCTCCTCATCAGAGGAGATGTTGTGGACAACAGTGAAGTGCTCCTCGTCCTCCCATGGTTGGAGGGGACCACGATGTCGCCGCCATGCACCGCTGTGGGGTTTCTCCCCCTTTCCCTCCTCCTCCTCCAAGGATATCCAATCGAAAGGACTCCTCCTCATCCTCATCGCCTTAGTTGTCCGAGCTCGAGGAATCGTTCGACACAACAACGGCAGGGAGTTGCTGGAATGAGTAGGCAAACCGTGATTCATGAGCAACCTCACCATGGTGAATTCGGGTCCGATTCCAGCATCATTTGGGGAAAAAGGGTGGCAGCTAGATATAGTTCGAGTTTGTGGGGTTGCCGATGAGAATTTTATAGTGTCGAGAAGGTAAAACGGCAACATGCCGGACATGGATCCACTTATTCGAGGGAGAGGAGATAAAGTGGTGAGCAATAATTTTGGAATGCCCTCCAGCTAAGTCTAAAGCGGTACGCAGTAAATGATACATTCATTTTGCATCATATTTTCCTATTGCTATTTTTACCTCCAGCTAAGTCTAAAGCGGTACGCAGTAAATGATACATTCATTTTGTATCATGTCTTCCTATTGCTATTTTTACCAAGATTGCCGATAGCTAAGAATTCTACAAATGACGCTTGCTCGAAATCAGCGCCCACAGCCTCCAAATGTGAGGCTCACAGGCTCAATATGGAGCAGGCTAATATGATATGGGCGTGTGATGACTCTTGTTTGAGTGCCATTTTGGCTCAAAATCGCAATATTAGGGTCGGGCCAATATGATCATCTCTTCAAGAGAGAAAGTTTGTCTAATTCTACGAATCTTTACAAGACCATACCCTACTCGCATCAGTATCTTGCAATATTGCGACAAGATCACAGAAGACTAGGGCATCAATTTTTGATCACCTTGGCCAGTTTGGAAAATGAAATTGTGACAGAGATAGACAAGCAGATAAAAGCACATATATAACACTAATAAACAGTCAACTGATTATTTGAGTTAATTAACTGCAACTCTATTCACATACACAGAACATCAGTTCCTTTTGGGAAAATTCCAGTCCTGTTAATCGGTAGTATAACCTAAACACACACTGCTCCGGTGAAAACCCAGCTCACAGATGAGGGCTATGGGTTTTGAACGGCAGGACGCAAGAGTAAGTGACATACTTTACACTGTCAACGAGGACTACAACAAATATACGCGACAATGACTTCGAAGAGATCCTTCCATCAGCATCCACTCTAGGGTCAGCCAGGACAGAGACCACCACCGATGAAGCCGGTTTCTTTCCAGCAAAGCTCTCGTTCTTGGGGTGCGCTTTGAGGTGATCGGTGTGGTTGGACGTTGAACCTTTTAGGGGAACGGCCATGGAATGTAAAATCCTTCTGTTCTTGACCTTATGGGACTGACTGGAGGGGAGGTTCTCCGTGGAGTTATGTGATGCATTGTGCATACCACTGGAGTAGACAGGAACAATGGTGGTCGGCGATATATCAAACTGGAACACTTCGGTGCACATTCCGGAACTCAACATAGGACCTGAAAAAAAATGGGAAGGAATAACTTTCAGCAAATGAAGAAAGAAACTACTTGCAGTAACAGTGTACAATTGAATTCAACTGTTCAAAAGCTACTGAGATAGCACACACTTCTTCCTACAGGATCAAATCCCTAATGTCAAGCTACAATTCAGTTCTCCACAAATATATGTATAGTTGTACAATGGCAACTGAGATAGCACATCGCATTGCTACTCAATTCGGGTGTCACAACTACATACACAAAACCGGCAGAACTTAGCAAACTAACAAAAAACATGCTATTGGTACAGTCAATTGCACCGGTACGGATACGCGTATCAGTATCAAGGCAATACAGATACATGAATATGTCATTTCTGAAAAGTGTCAATACGGGGATACATTTGACTATTTTTGAAAATAATATAAAAAGTATGTTATCAATTAAGCATCAAGCCATTTAGCATATATTTAGTCAGTACAATCCATTATCTTCCATCATCTTATCCATGATTCCAACAAAAGCAAGAACCAACAGCCAAAGGATAGCAGCAATTTACCAAACATAAAAGTTCAGTTAGATACAAAGGGAGGAGGAGGAGGAGGAGGAGGAAATCAACAGCCTTCCATTAGATAGAATTCTATAGGATAGTGGGGGGAAAGGGGAGCAGGAGCACCAGGGGAGCCTTCCACCGGCACTACTAGAGCTTGAGAAGTATCGGGGACGTAACGGGAAAGAATCAGTATCGGATACGGTATCCGATACGGATACACTGGTTGCTGGAAGTATCAGTGTTTTCTTCCGTCAGACTCTGTCTAGAGCTTTCATCAATGAAGTTCCTAGGGACGAGTCATATTTATAATACCACAATAGTCCACAAACCACCAATGTTGTATGTTAAAAGCAACCAATCGGAAGCAACAACTATCAGCAAATGAAGGAACAGACTAGTTGCAGTAACTAACTGCGGTTAATGACAGGTTTAATACAAAGGCAACTGAGATGGCACCTATTTTCCCTACAAGAATAAATCCCTAATGTCAAGCTACAATTCAATTTTCTAGAAATTTTCTATAAATACATGCGTAACTGTACAATTGCAAGTGAGATAGCACATCACATATCTCAATGCAAACAATTTAGAAATGTATGCCACCCAATTTGGACAACTAAATACACAGAAATGACGGAACTTAAGGAAAAACATGCTACTGGTACAGTCAATTACATGCTCTATCATGTTCAACTAAGCATTTTACATTGGGTTAGTCAAATTATTTCAAGAGCAATGAAGTTTTAGGGACATGCTAAATTTATATATGCTGCATCGGTCCACAAGTAATATTGTACTCCCTCCGTAAAGCAATATAAGAGCATTTAGAATACTAAAGTAGTGATCTAAACGCTCTTATATTAGTTTACAGAGGGAGTATGTTATAACATGCATACTGATACTGCGTACATGCACGAGCACATGTTGTGTAATATGCTGCATTAGCAATTGTTGCAACTGCACAAGGCAATAATACACCAAACATAAACTCTTGGAATGCGTTCATTGACCAAGTGACATAACCATATAAGCCCATGATCGCCTCGTTATCCATACTAAATGGTAACCACTTTTCAAGTTGTCTACTGATCGAAACAGAGGCATCCACTAGATAATATTTCCAGAAAATTGCCACCCTTATGTTGGCTAAGTTACTTGCAAACATAAAAACATTATCTATTAGGAAGTTGCATCAGCTAGTGACTGCTACATTCATATCAAGGTCACAGTATGATAACAAGTATAAAACCGACATGGCACACACACACATGAGTAATTTGTTTTTCAAATCTAAAGCACTATGCAACTTTTGTAGCATCCTTACCTGACATTGCTTCACTAAACCATTGTGGCAGTAATTCATCATCGTCTCTGTATATGCTTCCATCTCCAGGAGGTAAAGCCATCAGTTTATTTTTTATTGCTTTAGCAGATTCCATGACTTCTCCAGAATTCAACTGAGCAACATGGCCAGGAATTGCCAAACTAGTATCTTCTTGTCCTTGGTTACATGAAGTCTTCCCATCAGAGTGACACATGCACGAAGAGGCTTTCTCACTCGCAACAACAGACTGGATAACCAAATTTCCATTGATCTTGACATGCTTCCCATTCCTAGGAATATACAACAGCGCCGGGAGCGTCTCACTTGAATTATGCGGCAACTTCGAATCAACACCTTCCAAGACACCATCTCGAGGCCCGTCAACAGCCAGAACCCTCCCATGACGTGATTGTGACGGACCAAGCACAATTCCTTCTCGGGAATCAACTGCTCCATACATCCGATTTACCGCAGGAACCAAACACCCACAGAGCATCATCAGGAACAGCAATCCAAGGAGGCTAAAACTAGCAACCTTCTTGGTCTTCCTAGACTTCTTGGCCGGTGGCTCTGCGGCAGCCGACGCAGGCTGCTTGGTTTTCAGCCGAGGTATCGGCATGAGCGGCACTTGGGAGCCGCGCGCTCCCATCGCATAAGCCGGGTGCATCCATGGCAGCGGCAAAGGGTACAATCCAGGGTACATCGGCAGCGGCGGCGGGACGCCTGCGCCACCGGCACCGGCCAGTTGCTGCTTGAGAGCGGCGTTCTCAGCCGTGACGCAGGAGATCCTGGTGGAGAGGTCGGCGATGGTGGCCTGCATGGCCTTGACCTTCCCCTCCAGCTCCTCCACGTACTGCTTCTTCCTCTGCCGCGACAGGTGCGCGCTCTCCCGGTTCCGCACCAGCCGCGCCCGCCGCTTGTCGTCCTCACCCTCCCCCTCCTTAGCCTTGCCGTCGCTCCCAGCGCTCGCGCTCCTGGAAGACGTCTCCGAGGACTCGTCGTTCTTCAGGCCGCCGTCCGCTCCGCCACCGGAGCCGGAGGAGGAGTCCCCGCCCCCGCCCGGCGACCCGGCCGAGGAGGAGGACGTGGCGAGCGGCGGCGGCGGCGACGGAAGCTGCACGTCGTCGGTGGGGAGGAGGTCGAGGTCGAGGTCGAAGTCGAAGTCGATGTCCAGATCGTCGAGATCGAAGCCGTCCAGGGCGAAGGCGTCGTCGTCCCCGACGGGGCCGTGCGGGAACTCAGGGAGGTCGTCGGGGAAGGGCAGGTCCGCGAAGGGGGACGCCTCCGCGATGGCCATGGCGCGAGATCCGGTCACGGCGAGCGCATGCGCGACGGCGGGGCGGCCGGTCGGGGTCCTGGATCTCGCGCGGCGCGGTCGCCGCAGCGTGCAGGGTTTGCAATGTGGAAAGGGAAGGGAAAGGAAAGGCAGGAACTGCAGCTGGGGGATTCGGTCCGAGTCGCTGGTCGCCTCTTTGGCGTCGTCGAGACGAACCGGACCCACCATGCGCGGCCGCGTGGGGGCGGTGGGGCCTAAGTCAGACGCCAGACGCGTCTGGAACGTTCTCCGGGCCTCCTTGATGGGCCTGCATGGGCCAGAGAGCAGCCTGCTGGGTTTACAAATGGGCCGGGTTCGTTAACGGGCTGGAATTACTTTTGTAGGGTACTACAGATTGGGAGAGTGAAGGCCCAGGTGAAGCGGCGACCAGGCAGAGGAATGGCGACCATACTCGCGGGCCGCCGCCTGCTCCTCCTGCGGCGATGCGCGGCCGGGCGGCGGCTGCTGGGCACGGCGGCGGAGGCGTCTCCGGGCGGGGAGGAGGCGGGGGGCGAGGCGATCTACGTGAGGAAGCCCTCGTCCTCGTCGACGCGGGACGAGACCTCGGTGTCCATGCCCATGTCGTTCATGACGGGGTCCGTGGTGGGGAAGCGCTTCTACCGCGACGCCACCGTGCGCCGCGCCGACGACGGCAACGGGTGGACGGTCATGCTCGACTACCGCACCCTCAAGACGCCCGCCAAGCGCCCGCTCAAGCTGCACTCGCGCACGCTCGCCATGGCCGTCGCCGCCGAGTGGGAGTACCAGGTCTTGACCCCATTGCCTCTCCTCCTCTCTTCTCCTTCCTGTTCTGTTGTTTGGGATCACTAGGGTTCTGTATTATGGTGAATTATGTGAAGATTTAGTGAAATTTCATTCTATTTTACATTTAAAATGCACCGAATCTAGGTTTTCATCGTACTATTTAGTGCCGCGACTGAATTGCTTTTAATATTCTCATTTCTTCCCCTTTATCGTGTCATGAGCAGTTCTAACTGATCAAAATGGTCGTTTGGCTATAAGTAGAAGGAAACAAGTAAACAGTACTCAAAATGCAGTCCATCAGCATAGATCTGTTGCATTTATGCATAACGGGTAGTTCATTGCCTTCTGTGGAGAATAGAGCACCTTAGAGTTGAATTTGCACCTCCGATCTCTAGAGAGGCAACAGAGGTTGAAAATGAAACTAAAGCAAAACTCAATATGGCGGATGAAATCGCAAAATATAAGTTGGTTTTGACATGTTTTTGTTAATTCACTATTTTTTGTGTCATGAGCAGTTGTAAGATGCCTGTATGGTTATTTGGGAAGAAAGTAAAAATGGTACAGTAATGCAGAATGCGCAGTTCATTGCCTACTGTGGGGAATATAGAGTATAATTTGTTTGGTGTCAAAAAGTGGTAGGAAACCAGTCATGTTCATAGCACATTGTAGAGTTGAGTATTCATTTCTGATCTCTAGAGAGGCAATAGAGGTTGAAAATGAAATAAAGCCTCAATATGGCCAATGAAATTGAACAATATAACTTGGTATTCACATGTTTGTTACTTTGCTCTTTTTTGTGTCATGAGCAGTTCTAAAATGCCTGTATGGTTGTTCGGCAAGAAAGTAAAAAGGAAATAAATATTAGTGTTTGCAATATAATATGTTGGTGTACGTTAGTTGTGTTTATGCAGAATGTGCAGTTCATTGTCTTCTTTGGAGAATAGAGCACATTATAGTGTCTTCTGATCTCTAGAGGCAGAGAGGTTGAAAATGAACATTCCCACTGTCAGCTCCTCGAATAAAATTAGAACAAGGCCCATATGGCCGATGTACCCTCAGTATGTCATCTCTTATACACATCATAAATAGTACGCATATGCTGCAGTAGCTGAATTTAAGGAGAACTAGTGGTTTGATAGTTTTTACTTAGTTAAGCGAATCTATGTTTTTGCATGGCTGAGTTGCAGCTTCAAATGTTCCCCACTGTAACTTATAACGTGCAAGCTACTAGAGTTGTTACAATTTTGAACAACTTGCTTTTTTTGGTCTGCTGCTCATCTACCACCCTGTAGGAATGTGGGATTGTATCTGAAATAACTTTTATGGAAAAAAATGTTTCGTGTATTTAATTCCAATACTTTCTAGATCAATGGGTACTGGTACTGAAAGTTCCTTATTTTCATAGGAACAAGATGGAATCCGGCCTTTTACGATGCCTCTTATGAAGCTTGCTTGTACTGCACTGGAGAGAGTTCCGCTGACACGAACGAAAATAATTAGCAATTTGATGCAAAAATTCCATCAAGATTTGGTATTTTGCCGCTCACCTGCCGATGATGAACTTACCAAAGGAGTTTATGGTAATGTACCAAAAGAATTTCTCATAAGTTGGTGCAGTTGTTGTGCTCCAACATGAGTGAACTGGTTTCAGGCTACTTAGATCCATACAATTAAGTTGCAGATGCTCTGTGTCATTTGCACCGATTTCTCATGCTTTCTTACTTTTATGTGCAGAAAAACAGAAGGAGAAAATTGACCCAATACTGGACTGGGTCAACTCTGAGTTTGGGGTCAAGCCTGTTGTGTACACAAGTTTCTTAGGAGGGAAGCAGGATGAGCGGCTAGCTAAGGCTGTAGAAACCGTTCTGAAGGATGCAAATGATTATGAGCTGGCATCTATTGATGCTATGGCCGCAGCAGCCCATTCCCTGGTAATCCCTCTCGCAGTATTTAGAGGAAAGTTGGGAGTTGATGAATCCATTGAGCTAATCAGGCTTGAAGAAGATCACCAGGTGTGATATCGCAACCATTTTGTTTCTTCACTTGACTTTTTTCTTTTCTTCTCTTTGCTTCTGTCTTATGGTCTTTATTGTTCCATAACCCCAGGTCGATCGATGGGGCTTGGTTGAAGGAGGCCATGATGTTGATATTGCGGACCTTAAAGTCCAGATGTCATCGGCTGTTGTGTTCCTTCAACTTTCATGGCTGAAGTAACCTTTTGATCGATGATAATCTGCGTAATTGTTTCTGCTTTTTTTTCTCGAGCTTGTATCATGAAGAGTTGTAGAATAATAATTAGCCGCAGATGGTTAAGAGAAAACAAAGTACCGGTATTCAACAGGTGCTGATGCTGAACTCTTGATTAAACAGAGCTCAGTGTGTTATGTTAGCAAGGGTGTACGAAAACCCAACATCCTTTTCTGGATCCCAGTGGTCTCTGGTTATGAAGGGTAAAATGCAATCAATAGCAGAATTCTGGTTTGGTGTGATGAGGACTGCAGCAGCAGAACAATGCCAGCGCTGCATCGTCGGTCGTTTCGGACCATGCTGTACCAAATGGCTGCCGATTTCTGAATGTGTAAAACACTGCAGCACAATTTTCCAGTTTATATAAGATGTAATAAATTATTGATGTGAACTGAAAACTGAAACGAGTGTGAAGTTAGATAACCCCATGCTACGGCTGGTGTGCCGTGGTTTTCTATCTAAGGTGTGTACGTCCTAGTTATTGATGTGAAAGAATACCAAGGGCCTCCTAGTTCCAGGGAGAAGTGGAAGAAAAATGTAGGAATATATTCTTTTTTCCTATGTTGATACTATGTATACGTTTATTCAAAGGAAAAGGGCAAAGAAAGCATAGATACTTTTTTCCTTCGATCTCACTTTCAAAGGAAAAACACGGGAAATCTAACATCGACAAGGAGCTATTTTTGAATTTCCGTGTGCACGAAGAACAGGACTAGTTACATATTTTTATGTTGTGGTTTGATTTTGATTTGACCATATTTACTAGTATTTTTTTTAGAATTTTTTTCATTCAAATCACGAAACAGTACAAAGTAGTTGACCCTTACAAGCATACTGAAACGCAAACACAAAGGACCATGAACACCTAGAGTACCCTAAGACAACTATAACACAAGAAGATCTCCGAAGCCCCGTGTCATCATTCCTGAATCTTGAGAGAAGACCCCGGCAGCAGAAGGTCAGCAACCAGGTGCAAGCAGGTCATCATCTTCGACCACGGTACAATTGCCATCACGCTGCTTCCTCCTTTCTTGACACCAGCGCTGAGAGGGCATGTACATCAATCCAACACACCTGCAACAACCGTCGTCATCTTTGGCTTTGAGTACCGCGAAAAGTGTCCTTTCCGGAAGGAAGAGAACTCGAGTCATCCGACCGGTCCAGCACCGTGGCCGGGCCATCCACCCTGACAAAGCAGGATCTCCCACCAGCATCGACGCAGAGGAAGGAGAAGAACAGCAGCAGCAAATCATACCGATGTTGGGGATACACATAACATGTAGGCCCACGAAGGGTCGAAATATCATAAAGTATGGGGTCCACACAACATATGAGTCCAAATAAATTTCATACATACATACTATCTACTCGGATGATCTCCAAGTCATTCGGACGACAACAACCACTCGGAGCATAGCACTTCACTCGACCAACTCAATCCACTCGGAGCATTTGATCTCACTCGGATATGCGAAGACCAGCAGTCGACAAGGCACTCGAAGCATCATCTTAGTATTAGGCTGACTTATGGCATTAACGCCCCCACTTTATAACATAGGAGGTGAGGGGGTGGTGCACTCTATATAAGCCACCCTCACCACTAGCCTAGGGGGCTTTTTCTTCGACCTCTCTCTTTTTTCGCCATTAGTCTCAAGACGTAGCTCAGGCATGGGATCCGTTCCCTTCTCTCATACATTGTAATCTCTGGATACATACTCAGATAAAACAAAGCCTCTCCGGAGCATGAGACGTAGGGTTGTTATCTCCACCGTGAGAGGTCCGAACTCGCTAAAATCACCGTGTCACCCATTTGCATCTCGATAGATCATGCTCCTTTATCCTACCCCTCTCTTATTGTCAGAATCATTCCCACGACAACTGACAAGTAAGAAGAAGAGTATTCGTCTCCCTGCATCCATCGCCCATCTGAGGACCCAAACGGCCAGTGCCAATGGATCTCCATCCACCAT